TGTGAGTGAGTGAGTGAGAGAGTGTGTGTGTGTGTGTGAGCGAGAGAGAGAGTGTGTGTGTGTGTGAGTGAGTGAGTGAGAGTGTGTGAGAGAGAGTGTGTGTGTGCATCAGTGCTGTCATTAAAACAAAAGGCCTTCACAGACCAAACATACTAAAAGTGTAGAAATTATGAACATAAACATGCAATTCAATGAGTAATTCTTCAAAAAGTTCTTGATGAAATTGTCACACATTAAAAAGCAAGATGGATTTTGAGTTTTCACTCTTTCAAAACTGAGTAAGACAGCAACACGATGTGCTGTTAATTTGATTTCATTTGTAAAAAAAAGTATATTGTATTTATAGTACGTCTACACAGGTATTTAAGCTTTTTTTTTTTTTTTGCTAAATGCCCAAATTTCTAATTTTTATTTAAATATATATAGTCCATATTTACACATTTATGGTCCATGTTTACACATTTCTTTTGTTGTTGTTGTTGTTAAATGCCTATATTTCTCCTTGTTTTCTTTCTTCTGCTTGTTTTGAGGAAGACCTTGCACCCATGTCTTGCTAATTTTTTTTAAATGCATTTTTTTGTCACATCTGCACTTAATTATTTGTACATTATTAGAGTTTTTAGAGAGCTCATGAGGAATCAGATCAAGTCGATCTCACACCCGGTGACGAATGTGACTGTTTTGAGCTCTGTGTCCAGCTCGGCTTGCGAGGGAATCTCTGTTTGATGGGAGGTGAAGTATCTGACCTCCACGGGTCTCCATGAGGCACCGGCCTCGTCTCCAGAGACGCTTTTCTTTAGGCAGCTCCTCTTGGGCCCAGGACTTTCTCCTTCAGCCAGATCCCACAACTTTTCCAGGGAGAATTCCCCGGCTTAATAAGAGCCGTTTCCCTCAGCTGATCTGCTTCTCTTATGGTCTGCTGGAATATCTCTTGCATGTTTCTTTCCACAGTAGAAGTGTAATGCCTCTGGATCATGGGTGTATCGGGCCACGCCACCCTCCCAGGCTCCTGAACCGTGACGGAATGCACCAAGAACGTCCCGGTCTCAGCCAGACGCTCCCATTTATTCTCCGTTAGCTTCAGTTTTTTTTTTTTTTGCTAAATGCCCAAATTTCTAATTTTTATTTAAATATATATAGTCCATATTTACACATTTATGGTCCATGTTTACACATTTCTTTTGTTGTTGTTGTTGTTAAATGCCTATATTTCTCCTTGTTTTCTTTCTTCTGCTTGTTTTGAGGAAGACCTTGCACCCATGTCTTGCTAATTTTTTTTAAATGCATTTTTTTGTCACATCTGCACTTAATTATTTGTACATTATTAGAGTTTTTAGAGAGCTCATGAGGAATCAGATCAAGTCGATCTCACACCCGGTGACGAATGTGACTGTTTTGAGCTCTGTGTCCAGCTCGGCTTGCGAGGGAATCTCTGTTTGATGGGAGGTGAAGTATCTGACCTCCACGGGTCTCCATGAGGCACCGGCCTCGTCTCCAGAGACGCTTTTCTTTAGGCAGCTCCTCTTGGGCCCAGGACTTTCTCCTTCAGCCAGATCCCACAACTTTTCCAGGGAGAATTCCCCGGCTTAATAAGAGCCGTTTCCCTCAGCTGATCTGCTTCTCTTATGGTCTGCTGGAATATCTCTTGCATGTTTCTTTCCACAGTAGACGTGTAATGCCTCTGGATCATGGGTGTATCGGGCCACGCCACCCTCCCGGGCTCCTGAACCGTGACGGAATGCACCAAGAACGTCCCGGTCTCAGCCAGACGCTCCCATTTATTCTCCGTTAGCTTCAGGAAAGCCTTCAGGATGCGTTTGGAAGCTTTGGTCGGCATGTCTCTCAGATGGGACAGCATTCCCCTCTCAGGAGCCGCTTCCTCGTCTGCAGGTGTGTTCCACCTGTTCCTCACCTCATCTCTCCAGGGCGAGGGAAGTGGCTTCGATTGGCTCCGTAGGCTGCAGTAAGGCTCTTCTTTATAGTCAAAGTTGGTTTTAGTGACCTTCATGCAGCTCTTGGGCCGTCCAGGGATGCGTTTGGGTTCAATGGGCAATCTGTAGGACACGTCTGCCCACGAGACCAGTTTAGGACCAGGGTTCTCTCGGGGGATTTACTAACAGGTTAACAAGTTCCTCCTTCCAGGAGAGAATGGACTCAGAACTGCTTAGTGCGCTGCGCTCCGTCATTATTCTCGCTATAGTCCTGAATCAGAATCGGAATGACCAAATATGGATGCATCAGAATCAGAATTATTAATGACTCACCGCGCGCGTGACGTCATCGCGCCTGTGGTGCCCGTGTGACGTCACAATGGCCGCGTTCTAAATTAGAATGCACGCGTGAATGAATCGCAGAATGAAAAGATGAAGTTTGTGCTTCTACTTTAAATTACGATGATTTGCATTTCTGGTCTTCTTTAGATCAAGGGGCTTCAAACGAGATGAGGAAAACTGAGGGGTAAACATGAATTATTAATAATTGTTTTCAATTAGTAATTCCATTTTCCACGTGATATTTCAATTGTACAACATAAAATTAGTTTTTTTTTTTCATTAATTGTTGTTTTCATAAAATCACACTCATGTTTTTGCCTTATGTGCCCCTCCTACCTGATGTCTTGTGATTGGCTTGTTTTTATTACATTTCTAAGTGCATCAGTTAGCCTTATCTTACTGACAGATGTCGCTCAAACTGTGTCCTGTGCGCTGGAGATGAATTCTTTTGGCACCTGGACTAAACCTTGTCAAAAGTTATCAACCAATCAGACTTCCCCGACTGAAATGCTACGTGAAATCTCATTAGCTGGAATTCTTTTGACAATCAATGATGGATCTGCAATTTCGTTACAATTTAATATTTAGTCATATTAATCAAAAGTATATTAGAAATGGCTGGGAATGGGGTGCTTGGATGATTTGTACAATAACTGCTTGGTCAAACCCCTCAGCGATTTATCTAAACAAACAAAAAAAGTATATGATTTGGTTCAAGTGGTCATACATGTCTTGTGTACTTGGGTTGGGTTATATATACAGTGGGTACGGAAAGTATTCAGACCCCCTTAAATTTTTCACTCTTTGTTATATTACAGCCATTTGCTAAAATCATTTAAGTTAATTTTTTTTCCTCATTAATGTACACACAGCACCCCATATTGACAGAAAAACACAGAATCGTTGACATTTTTGCAGATTTATTAAAAAAGAAAAACTGAAATATCACATGGTCCTAAGTATTCAGACCCTTTGCTCAGTATTTAGTAGAAGCACCCTTTTGATCTAATACAGCCATGAGTCTTTTTGGGAAAGATGCAACAAGTTTTTCACACCTGGATTTGGGGATCCTCTGCCATTCCTCCTCGCAGATCCTCTCCAGTTCTGTCAGGTTGGATGGTAAACGTTGGTGGACAGCCATTTTTAGGTCTCTCCAGAGATGCTCAATTGGGTTTAAGTCAGGGCTCTGGCTGGGCCATTCAAGAACAGTCACAGAGTTGTTGTGAAGCCACTCCTTCGTTATTTTAGCTGTGTGCTTAGGGTCATAGTCTTGTTGGAAGGTAAACCTTCGGCCCAGTCTGAAGTCCTGAGCACTCTGGAGAAGGTTTTCATCCAGGATATCCCTGTACTTGGCCGCAGTCATCTTTCCCTCGATTGCAACCAGCCGTCCTGTCCCTGCAGCTGAAAAACACCCCACAGCATGATGCTGCCACCACCATGCTGCACTGTTGGGACTGTATTGGACAGGCGATGAGCAGTGCCTGGTTTTCTCCAAACATACCGCTTAGAATTAAGGCCAAAAAGACCAGAGAATCTTATTTCTCACCATCAGTTTGGCCGGACGGCCAGCTCTAGGAAGGGTTCTGGTCGTCCCAAA